TGGTGCCTGACACTTGTTTCAGGATTTTCTGCCGTACAGCTGGAGCTTTCCTCGGTTGGGGCTCTCAAAGCAGTTTTTACCAGATTGCGAAAATTATAGCCCAGCTCCAGCGGTTTGCAAATCCCTGCCCAACCAGCCGTCCTCTCGGGGCTCCTTCCCTTACGAATAAGACCTGGGAGTTTTCTGGACTCTGAGCTCTGCCAAGAGCACCCAGCCTGTCCTGTTACCAAATCTGCCGCTGGCATTTCTTCTGCCTGTTGTAGCTGGTCATCAGGGTGGGAAAAATAAGTAAATATCAGAGTGGTAGGAATGAACTTCCTACAGCCGAGGAGACTGATCTCCATTCAAACTACCTTCCACCTTCCAGCAGTGAAATAAGTCAGCTTTTCCTGCAGGATTTTCAGCCATGGGTATATCAATGCACACACGGACGATGCATATACACGAAGATCAGCAAACATCGTTGCGTTCGGGGCTGATCCTACCAGACTTAAGAAGAGGAGGAAGGGAATCCATCCCAGGTGCTAGAGAGAAAAGAAAGCGTGGGCTCAGTCCTGGGACAAGCCCAGGGAGCTCAGGGCCATCTTTGGGGTGGCCTCCGCGTTGATCCTCTCCCGGTGAGCGCACACGGGCAGCCCAGGTCCGCAGGACCAGGCGCTGGGCACCCTCCCTGGCCCCGTTACCAGCCTGCTGGGGCTGCCGGGCACTGGGTGGATGGGAACCCAACATGCTCTTACCTATTGCTAGGCAAGTCCTCCACCCTTTGTGCCGGGGAGAGAGCCAATTCCTCCTGGCAATTAGGTAACTACTCTGGTTCACAGAGCACAAGCTGTTCTGGCAAACAATTAAAAAGAGAGTATAGCACAGCCTTTCACATGCCCGAGTATTCCTGCAGATAAAGAGCCACAGCGACCTACGATGAACAGGTTCTCCTTCCCACATTGCCTCTTCCCCCCTTGGCGCCCAGGGCGAGCGCACAATCCTGCCTGAGGAATTTTCAGTGAAACAATTTTCAGTTGGAATGAACTGAGCTTTCAGAAATAAACCTGCCACCCCCCACCCCCC